GCAATTACATTCTGTCATTCTGCCGCTTCAATCAGCGTCCTTAAGTAGACCCGAATGGAGGCAGAGCAGGCAATGAGAGAGCAGGGAGAGGGCAGCTTAAATAGAGCACATGTCGAGTGTGAAATCAGTGCAGCTTTTGGTTGTTCCTGTTTTTGTTCAGTTTGTTTTGGAGATTGCAGATCTGTAAACATGCGAGTTAAAAAATGTAAATAATGTTTTCTGAACAAACATAATGTAGCAGAATGTACACCCATGTATTCCTGACTGCAACTAAACCTCTGGTTATAAGCAGGTGACACTCATCCTTCCCTCAGAGGTCACAGACAATCCTTCCACTCACTTCACCACATCATCAGTTGTTCAAATCATTGAGTCACATCACAGTGACAGAAAGAGAAACTCACCCGGATCTCAAAGCTGTGATGATACAATCAGCGCAGAAGCGGTGCAGACATTCTTTGGTGGTCATTGTGTTCTTCAACATGTCTAGACAGATCGGACACATGAGTTCGCTGTGCAGAGACCTGGGAGACACGGCGATCTCCAGTCCATCTGTGATCGCCTCCTGTGCCAAAACACATAAACATAAAGGTTACCACACACAGGATCACCTCCACCTGCGGATATCATACTGGAAATGATTCAGGAGCCGAGTGGAGCTCCAGATGTTTAGAACGGGGGGGGGGGGAGGTTGTGATGTTGTCAAATCATGTAAATCCTTGCACATTTTTCACAACCAACTCACAGTCTGACACAGCTGATGTGTAATGTGTGAGAACAGAAAATAAAGGGGAGTGTTGTGGTACCTGTGGTGTTCTCTGCAGCTCGTACAGACTCAGCTCCCAGGTCTTACTGAGCGGCTGAACCCATTGGTCTGAACCGTCTGAGTCATCACTGCAACACTGAAACACAAAGAGAGAAAACGTCCATGATGTCATAGTGACCTCCTGCAGTGCATGTTTTGGTTGCAATTAAAAACAGGGACACATCACCTTGAACACCTTAGTTTCTACCTTACACTGTTCCTCTCATTCATACTCGTGCAGAAATGGTGGCAGAGCTCAAGTGCTCAGCTATCAGCAGCAAACTGAGGTTAATGTCCTCCTAAAGAGAACTCTAAGGTCCTTATCAAACTGCATGCCAAAATCTGTTTCTTTGGGCATTTCCATACGATGTCCAGATTCATTTTCCAAAGTTTGGAGAGCAGATAAGGATCAGAGCAGAATGTAAGGTTGGTTAAAGATGTAAATCCATCAGTGACTTAAGTTGTGACGTCCAAATTAGATTCCAAAGTGAGTTTTTATGATGTGAATCTTTGGGTGTCTCAAGATTTGATTCGATTCTTGGGGTCACGATTCGAATCAGAATCTATTGTCGAAAGGATGTTGAAAAGGATTCTGGATCCATGATTCAAAGTCTATTTTTGAATGAGTACATACTTCGACTCCAGTCATCTTTTAGACTGGCTGAACTTCTTGCTGCTCTATTTGACGTTCTACTGAGTTAAAGAACTAGCTTTAGCACTTAGCAGGGAGTGACTGATTAGTTATGAATCTTTTTAAAATCTCAAAAGATAAGAATCTGAATTTGTAAAAGTCTTATTTTTTTCCACCCCTAGGTATCAAATCTACAAAACCAGACTGAAGACTGAAGTGAATCAGAACAGTCTCCACAAATTCTTCAATTCATCAACTACCAACTCACACTTCTGACTTAAGACATTTAAACCGCTTTGTTAATTTTTTGTTTAAACGATTTGACCAATAGTTCAGTTGCATGGGAACACCCTGCCTAATCGGTCCTAGGCTTAAATAACACGATGTAGACCCTTTTTTGTATTGTTTTCTTCTAGATAAAAATGACCTGACTCATGAATTCCTTCTGAAAATAAATCAGTTTGCATTAAAATGATCTGCGCTTGTATTCCGGAATAACAGAAAGAGCAGCACAGACGTTGATAGTCGGCCAAAAGTCCCACAGATTTGTGTGCTTGCTTTCTATAAACAGACCTACTACAGCTGTGTCTTTCAGGAAACAGAATTTAAAACACCACGTCAGCTGCCTGGTACTGATAAATATTTACCATAAGACCAGATTCATTTTACAGTTCGCATCAATTTGAAAATCAATTTTCCTGAAAGTAAACGTGCAAAGAAGGAAACTTGGAAAATGTTGAATAAAAATCTTCTCTTATTTATAAGAGTTAAAGATATATCATGTTTGTGAAATGACTCAGAATCATTAGGATTTTTTTTTTTTACATTTTATTTGCTTTAAACAGAAGTGCCATCATGATGATGTGAGCTGAGCTGAGGTAGCATCTCTGCCTCACTGGTGTATTTTACTTTATTAATACAATTGTTATGCAAACCAGCATTGTGCGTGACCCCACCCACCCCTCACACAGCCTCTTCAGCCTCCTGCCATCGGGGAGACGGTACCGCAGCCTGCGGGCCGGCTCCACCAGACTGGGAAACAGCTTCTTCCACCAAGCTGTCAGGAAGCTTAACTCTCTCCCTCTCTTCCTTCCCTCCCTCTGCCCCCACGAACACTGGATGTTGAAACCCCCTCCCGTTTGCCACCAAGAACTCTGGACTAATAACTCTGAAGCTAACTATTCAAAAGTACACTCAGTTTACTGCACATTGCACATATTGCACAAGTTTACTTTAAATTGTATTTTATTTTATTTACCATTTTGTACCTTTTGCACAATTTAGAATTTATTGCTGTAAATATTATTTATCTTATTTTACCTTATTTTGGTTGTATTGCACCGCGGGACGGAGACAAATGAAATTTCGATTCCACTGTATGTCTGGCATATTTTGAAATTGACAATAAAGTTGACTTTGACTTGACTTTGACAAAGTCGATATGCACCTGGCCATTGTTTGATAACACGTTTATTTATTGTGCAGCCCTGGGCCGATAAATCGAGTAAGAGTTAGAGAAATACATTTTCAAAATATACAAATATCTCAATGAAGAACAACGAATGGTCACATAAGGGGAGTTGTTGGTAGAGATGCACAGATCGGGGAAATCAGAGCAGATACCAATAACAATTTATCCGTTTGTCAATTCCAATACCGATTTGTTTTATGACAATGATGACGTTTTATCTCATTTTTGACCATAAAAAAAGTCAGAGATGGTTCAACAGGTGACTTCATCTGCCCAATAACAAACCCTTATTGGCTGAATCAGTATTTAGGTGCACTAGATGTCAGCATTTAATTGATTTGGCACAACAAATAAACAATTTGCTAACCGGTGCATCCCCACTTATTTGACAATGCCACCTTCAGTTGCATAGCTTGAATTCATGACCAAAATATCCACCAGAGGAAGCCCAGACTGGGTTCTTCTTGTGCTGCATCTCTAGGAGCCTTACAGCAAAACCAAGAAAATAAAAAGGCGAAAAACCGACAGTTGTGAGGCCATACAGCTGTTATGCACAGAAATGCCTCCCTTCCTAAAAGTGGATGCATGGTATGATAGATACATACATGTTTTTCTGGGGGGAAGATCTGTGATGACAATGAAGTTATTTAATAAACGTTATTTAAGGATGGATGCAATTTTCTGAAGGGATGGATTTCTCGGCATAACACCGCCACATACTGTAATGTGACAGAGGACAGGTGGACGTGGGGGAGGTCCATGTTAAACACACCAACATATAGACCATGTCGGGGCAAGCTAATCTCAACACAAACGCTTCCAAATATAAACATGATAAATAAATTAACCACTGAGATATTTAGCCTGAGCTGTCTTCTTTATATTTATATGTCTTCTTTATCATTTCAAGCTAATAAACAAAACCCAATGATGTGCTAACAAAAAGGTAACTTAAACAGTTTGAATATATGTGGCAGCTCATACGTATATGATGTTATCTGCACTGTAACTCATTATTCAGTCATTTTTATTCAAACAAACTAACCTATATTACATGTGCAGATTACATGTGAAATATATGTGAGGCTAGGCTAATGCTAGCTAGCTTCCTCGTATCGCTAACCTTAAAGGGTAAATTTTCTCCAGACATTGCAAATAGGAAGCCGACCAGAGACGGAGAATGACAGGGAGCACCTTAGTGCCCATTTAAATACTCTAACTAAATGGCTATGTTTTTAAATTAGCGGGTGAGACGTGAGGGGAATTTGTCGCCTCACAGAAAGAAAAACAACAACAGAGCAGGAGCCTCCGCACTGGCTCTCCCGAGCTAAGCTAACCGGCTTTAACCCGTTATTCTGCCACTTTGACACAGCTGTAAACTCAGCATGATAGCAGTCAGTGTACACATTCACACGTAAGGTTAAGTTCTTCCTAGCTTGCCAAAAAAATGATCTAATGTGTACTTACATTTTTAATTGGGAGAAGGAGCCGTTCTAGCTAGCGCGTTTAGGTGAAGGCAATATGGCGGCTGCAGAAGGTGCAATGCACGCTGGGAAATGTAGGCTCATCGCATGAGTAGTCGGGAATCAAACCTTATCAAAGAAAAATAAAGCTTTATCATTGATGATAATAAGCAAACAAGGGGCAGCCAGTCTTTGTACACTTCTAACAATCCGCCATTAAAACGCCTTTACGAAATTAAGCTTGTTTTTTTAATTTATTATTAAAGGTGCACTATGTAGATTTGGTAAAGAAATTTTGGAGAAGGGAAACAATTATATGTTATATTTTCTGAACTGAATATACAAACTTTATTCAAAGGAAAACACAAGTCCCTGGAAAACTGTTTGGAGCGAACAGTGTCCCCTGAGGACAGTTTGAATAAAGAGTTATGAACATATAGAATCTGTACATTTCTCCAACTTTCACTTTTCTCTACCAAACTGCTATAGTGCACCTTTAATATTCAAACGTTATTCAAGTGGATGCTTCACACAAGCTCGTTGAGTTTTCTGCCTCTTCCTGCACTGAATATTGTTGATTTTGTTATTTGTGTAAATGTATTTTTACTGTGTAACTGAATAAACATTAAAAACAATACATCTTACTTACAGACTGTGAACTTCCTTCACTATGACGGGATGTTTAAAAGGAGTCCACTTAAAGTGAATAAAGCTGTGAAATAACAAGAATTTTACAATAGAAATTTATTTACAAAAATTTTAATATTGTATCGGTTTATTTCTGTCCATAGTTATTCATGTAAAGACACATCCACATTTCAGTGTGAAGCTGGGTCCCGAGGTCCTAATGGAGCAGACCATGAACCATCATTTGACCAGTGTGTGTGTGCACATGCGTTTGCTGAACGCTGCTCATTTCTTTATTGATTGATGTCGTTTCTGATTGTTAAACTTAATATGATGCTGTCTTGGTAAGGTCTCTCTGGTAAAAGATATTTAATCTCAGTGGGAATATTCAGGTAAAATAAAGGATGAAGACACTGAGACATATGAGACATACAGTCGTGATTCTTGTGTTGGTGGTCGGGGCCCTTTGGTCAAACTTTCATTGGGGGTCTCTCCAACCATATTTCCCTATTTTCCACTTTCTTTCTTTTTTACTCCCTGACTCATCATTTCCCTTCAAGCTGAGCAGGGCACAGACAGAATGTGCTGATAGATGAGGATTCCTACTATCAAAGTCAAATGTGCACGTTATGAGCCCCTGCTGTGGTTTGAAGTTTGTCTGGCCTGTCGACAAGCAGAACCTGTGACAGAGTAAAGACATCTTTACATGCAGACAGCTATACTCCTCCCATTTAAAGAAAGATATGTGGAAGAATAGCTTTTAGACAGAGTTTACAATGGGGCATGATGACTGTAAACATGGCGAATTACAGAGACTACAATGCAGGGCCGGCTTAATGCATCTCAACATGTGTTTAACCACCAGGCCTAATTTACTAAAGTAAAATATCTGGAGGTTTTTTCTCTCTAAAACTAATAAAAAAACAACCTAAAATATAATATTTTCTCACCAAAAGTAACCGACCTTTTAAATCACTGACCTCTTTTTTTCTGTCATGAGGAAGGTAAATTGTTTCTTCTGCACGCTGACAGGGAATTATCACTTTGAATTAGTTTTTCCACACCTCTTACCTGTGATGTAATGTGGGGGAGTAAGGAATGGTGATGTATGGCAGTGTCAAAGGATTATGTTTGCCTTGTGATAATATTGATCACACATTTTTCAAAGTTATAGCTAAAAAAGGCTCTAACATGAAGACATGTTCAGACTGTTTGAGGGGGGGCTGAGATGAATGTAGGAGGGCTGAAGTTTTGAAAAGGTCTAAAATCGCCTCCTATGGCTTACATGTTGAAAAACAAATCAAAAAAAGGTTTGAATCTAGATTTGAAAAAAGCATAATTTATAAACTCTGCCCCTGAACATCTTACACATTCATGTACACTTCAGCTGTTTCTTTACACTTTAGGAGATGAAAGCTGACTGAATAAACATTTATTTTACCTATCTCTCTCTCCCCCTCTCTCTCTGTCTCTCTCGCTCTCCCCCTCCTTCTCCCTCTCTCTCCCCCTCTCTCTCTGTCTCTCGCTCTCCTCTCTCCCCCTCCTTCTCCCCCTCTCGCTCTCCTCTCTCCCCCCTCCTTCTCCCTCTCTCTCTGTCTCTCTCTCTCCTCTCTCCCCCTCCTTCTCCCTCTCTCTCTGTCTCTCTCTCTCTCGCTCTCCTCTCTCCTCCTCCTTCTCCCTCTCTCCCCCCTCCTTCTCCCTCTCTCTCCCACTCTCTCTCTGTCTCTCTCTCTCTCTCTCCTCTCTCCCCCCTCCTTCTCCCTCTCTCTCCTCCTCTCTCTCTGTCTCTCTCTCTCTACTTGTAAAAACTGGAAGCCTGTTTGTAAACTTGCTCAGTGTAAAACATGTGTAACTGAAACCAACACATTGACAGATCAATCCTTAAAACAAAGGAGTCAAGCGGAAACGTCTCGTGAGGAGTCAACCCAAAATGGGGATGTCTCGTGCGGTGTGCGTGCGCACAGTCGTGTGTGAGCGCGAGACAGAGCAGAAGGCGTAGCCACATCAGAAGGGGGTCGAAGTGGGGGGGGGAGCGGAGGTAAGGGGAAGGGAAGTGTTGTCGATCCGTGACATGAATGAACCATGTTCGGTAACGGAGGCTTCGCTCTCCCGGTGTGCTCCTTCCTCCTGCTGCACCTCCCGGTCCTCCCGCTCAACAACAACAACTGGCACGGCAAGGTAAACAGCTCTCCGTTTCTTCACCTCTTTTTTGCTGTTTGTCCTTTTTCAAACTGGTGGTGGGGGGGGGGAGAAAAGTTACGGAGTTTGCTGAGAAGTCTGTCACAGTGCTTATACGGTCATGCACGACCCCCCCTCTTTATTCCACCTTGAATTAACTTTTAGAATGAACCCAGATAGTCTCTGAGTAACATGTCAGTGTGCAGAGAAACACTGAACCACGGTGTGATTGTGATAGTGTATGTAAGGCAAGCTGTCTGTTACCAAATGCGACAATGACACTGTACCCCCCCCCCCCCCCCCCCGAGAAAACTTTGTTGAGTTAACGGGATGCTTTACTGCTGCGTCAGACACTTTGAATAAGACTGTTATGATCTGTGTCCACTGTGTCCACCTTTATTAACCAGCCAGTATGAGATCACACTCAGGCTCAACAAGAGTGTTTAGTGTTTTCTGCTCAGCTGAAAGATGAGACCATATCAGATAACCTGCCTATTTGCATTAATAAGACTTTTGTATGGTGGCTGGGAAGTGCCAAACAAACCCACAAAGTCTGAAACACTTTTACAAAGCTTGAGACAAATTTACATTTTAGAAAAAAGATGCAAAACACTTTACCCTACGCTAAAACAAATGTACAAATGACAGAATCTTAGAGGAAAGGGAAAGTAGAAATGCCATAATATACTCTGAAGTGATTGATTGAGCAGTCAAATTGTTTGTTTTGGCCAAGTTTTGGTCAACCTTAGATGTTGAAAAATTAAGCCAATGTGGAAGTGCAACACCCTGCAGTTTGTAAGTGTCCACTAGAGGCTGGCTGCAGAAGCACAAGACGTCACATACACACCCATTCTAAAAAGCCTGTTTTTACAGCAGAGATTAACATGTTTACAGCCTGGTTAAAAAAAAATCAAATAGGTCTGGTTAGTTATTGTCCTCTTGGGCACACACTGTGCGGGAGTGATTTATTTTACAATGCATCAGTTTTAATTTTATGAATGATGTGTTATTCCATAGTTAACTTATGTCAAGGTGTTTAAAACCCGCCTCAGCTCCAGCTCTCAGCTTGTCGTTAGGTTGACTGAAAGTTAGACTGAGACAGCATTTCCAGCACGGCGACTGAAGCCGATGAGCCTCCTGATGGGTGTCAATATTCAGGCTTTGTCCATTAAAATACAGTCTATGGTTTTGGAGGAAAGAAAAACCATTGAGTATAAGGTTAATGAATATTGTTTTGAACGTTTTGTGTAACCGAACTGAGACAGTTAACGCAGTCTGTTTTCAAAAAGGCAACAACATACTACTATCCAACGCAGTAATTCTACAATTCACTTAGCAGACGCTTTTATCCAAGCAGACGCTTGTGGTACTTTCCCTTTCTGCTAAGATTCTGTCGTTGGAATAGTCGGTAAAAGACCCCCTGTTGAGATGATGAAAAGAAGCAGGGTTTGTGTTTGATCAGCAGCATGCTCTGTCTCTATCAAATGAACAAGTGAACACATTTTATGTATTGACTCTAGAAAACACTATAACCATCTTCAATCGACATGTTCAACGTAAAAGTTTGTGAAAGTGTTTCATTTTGCTTTAACCCTTTAATAGCAGCGGTGTAGTGAACATATTGGGCTGTTAGTAGAATAAACCAACATGATGAGGAGGTTTATCTTAACCCATTAGCTCTTCTTATCCTGCTTATTACATGTGTACCCATTCACTAAACGCTGTCATTGATGGTAAAGTGAGCTAAGCTGAACAGTGTGAATGATAGCATTGAGGTTTTCTGTCAGTCTGTCTGCGTTTTCCTCTTTGAATACCCAGCGCTGATTATCGCTGTTTTCTTCATTCATTAGAGTCGTTAAGTAATATGTAATCAATTCTTGTGCAAAAGTTTGCTCAGACTGTCTGCAACAAAGTAGGTGAACTGCTGCATTACTGAAGACTGTCGGTCTTTTTTAAGGGGGGAAAGAGCCTTTGGGTGCAGCTGGAAAACACCATCTGCACCCAAAGGCTCTTTCCCCCCTTAAAAAAGACCCTGTTTGGTTTCCAGACCCTGTTTGGTTTCCAGACCCTGTTTGGTTTCTAAGCCCTGTTTGATTTCCAGACCCTGTTTGGTTTCCAGACCCTGTCTGGTTTCCAGACCCTGTCTGGTTTCCAGACCCTGTTTGATTTCCAGACCCTGTTTGGTTTCCAAACCCTGTTTGGTTTCTAAGCCCTGTCTGGTTTCCAGACCCTGTTTGGTTTCTAAGCCCTGTCTGGTTTCCAGACCCTGTTTGGTTTCTAAGCCCTGTTTGGTTTCCAGACCCTGTTTGGTTACCAGACCCTGTTTGATTTCCAGACCCTGTTTGGTTTCCAGACCCTGTTTGGTTTCCAAACCCTGTTTGGTTTCTAAGCCCTGTCTGGTTTCCAGACCCTGTTTGGTTTCTAAGCCCTGTTTGATTTCCAGACCCTGTTTGGTTTCCAGACCCTGTCTGGTTTCCAGACCCTGTCTGGTTTCCAGACCCTGTTTGGTTTCTAAGCCCTGTTTGGTTTCCAGACCCTGTTTGGTTTCTAGACCCTGTTTGATTTCCAGACCCTGTTTGGTTTCCAGACCCTGTTTGGTTTCTAGCCCCTGTTTGGTTTCTAAGCCCTGTTTGGTTTCCAGACCCTGTTTGGTTTCCAGACCCTGTTTGGTTTCCAGACCCGGTTTGGTTTCTAAACCCTGTTTGGTTTCTAAACCCTGTTTGTTTCTAAGCCCTGTTTGGTTTCCAGACCCTGTTTGATTTCCAGACCCTGTTTGGTTTCCAGACCCTTTTTGGTTTCTAGGCCCTGTTTGGTTTCTAGACTCTGTTTGGTTTTTAGACCCTGTTTGGTTTCTAAGCCCTGTTTGGTTTCCAGACCCTGTTTGGTTTCTAGACCCTGTTTGTTTTAAGTAAGCAGTCAGTCCACTTATTCTTGCCGACTGATGGGAAAAAAGTGAGGCAGCACCCGTCTGTGTCTCTGGATGTGAAGTCCATTACACATTAAATTGATGACAACAGTAAAAGGAAAGTTGTGTAGGGCGCACACAACAGCTGGCAGCACATCTGAAAGACTTTTCCTGGCAAAGAAAACCCCAATAAAGCTTTCTTCTTTACACATTACACACAAACATCATGATGCATCCTAGAAACTGTACTGTAATGCTCTTTGAAGAAGTGTGTGCTGTAATGCTCTCTGAAGAAGAAGTGTGTACTGTAATGCTCTCTGAAGAAGTGTGTACTGTAATGCTCTCTGAAGAAGAAGTGTGTACTGTAATGCTCTCTGAAGAAGAAGTGTGTACTGTAATGCTCTCTGAAGAAGTGTGTACTGTGATGCTCTCTGAAGAAGTGTGTACTGTAATGCTCTCTGAAGAAGTGTGTACTGTAATGCTCTCTGAAGAAGAAGTGTGTACTGTAATGCTCTCTGAAGAAGTGTGTACTGTAATGCTCTCTGAAGAAGTGTGTGCTGTAATGCTCTCTGAAGAAGTGTGTACTGTAATGCTCTCTGAAGAAGAAGTGTGTACTGTAATGCTCTCTGAAGAAGTGTGTACTGTAATGCTCTCTGAAGAAGTGTGTGCTGTAATGCTCTCTGAAGAAGAAGAAGAAGTGTGTGCTGTAATGCTCTCTGAAGAAGAAGAAGTGTGTGCTGTAATGTTCATAGGAGCAGTGGGGTTTAGGATGAATTGCTCAATTTGTGTACAAAGAGTTTTTTTTTATGTTTAGTTTGGTCAAAAGGAAACAAGGTACTTATTATACTCACAATGTCAAAAAGAGTCCATTATGTAAGCAAACACATGAAGAAGTATTTCTGAGTTGTCAGAATTCTTCACATTACATATTCTTACCTTACACCAAGACTAATGAAGCTGTTAATCCATCAACACCTGGGCTTTTTAATGCACTCATTGTAGAGACAGGTCAGTCAGAGAGAGAGAGAGAGAGGGAGAGAGAGAGGGAGATATGTGGCAGAGGAGCCACAGGTCAGACTCTCTCAATTAAATTGCAATTAAGTGCATAATCAAAGAACTAATTCCTTCTTCTATAAAATAAAAAAAACAATAAATCCTAAACACATTTCCCAGGAGACCAAGACCATAAATATCACTGAAAAATCCTCATCTTGGGGCGCTGATGGCGCAATGGTTACAGCGCGCGCCCCATGTATTGAGGCTGTCGTCTCGAGCGGGAGGCCCGGGTTCGCTTCCACCCGTGGCCTCCTTCCGCATGTCGTTCCCCGCTCTCTCTCCCTGGTTTCTGACTCTATCCACTGTCCTATCTCTGCATTAAAGGCACAAAGAAGCCCCAAAAAAAATCTTAAAAAAAAAAAAATCCTCATCTTGTGTGCAGGGGGCGTGTCACTCACTTAGACCGTAACAACGGGAAGGTTAAAGCCGTAACCGGGGATAAAAACCAAAATCTGAATGAATTGAAGTTATGAGTTCTTTTAGAAAGAGGCGTGTCCTTCTAATCACAGCCTATCAGTGGTGGCCTTGATTCAAAATCCGGAGTACGCCCAGTCTGAGCTCAGCGTCCACCTTTCTTTCAAATATGTTCTCACTCAGCTGAGATACAAAGGTTTCTATCTGAACACCACTTATTCCAACACCTCTGACACAAAGTGACACAGAGGAGGTCAGGAGCGAAACCTCTCTGGATACTCTCTCCAGTGAGTGGGAGGAGCTATGTATTCATTTGGTATTTAGATGACTAATATGGGCTGGGTTTAGTTATTCTACACCTTTTCTTTATTTACAATAGATTATTGATAATCATTTCTTTAGGTTGTTATTTGTGTTGCATATTTAGTTTTGCATATTGTTTATCAAGTTGTGGGCACCTGAGGGTAAGAGGCAGGTAGAGGACCAGCATGCACTTTTTTTTTTTTTTTTTGCTTGCTTTAAAGAAATAAACAATCATTAAACACAGACCCCTCACATGGACACTGGACTTCTTTTGCCTGCGTTTATATCACTTTCATTTAGATTTTCTCAGACAAATAGCCACTTCTGTATCCATTCCATTATTAGTGTTACATGTTCATGTATGTTGTGTGTGTGTGTGTGTGTGTGTGTGTGTGTGTGTGTGTGTGTGTGTGTGTGTGTGTGTGTGTGTGTGTGTGTGTGTGTGTGTGTGTGTGTGTGTGTGTGTGTGTGTGTGTGTGTGTGTGTGTGTGTGTGTGTGTGTGTGTGTGTGTGTGTTTTGTCTGCCAGGACAGAAGTGGAGGGAGGGTGGAGCAGCAGCAGCGGGACTCCCCTTCACCGCCACACAGTGTTGGAGGACAGAATGGGAAACAGACAAGCGACAAGGTAATCACACACTTTATGGTTTCATCTCATGGGTTTCCTGCTGTGTAATATAAATGTGATTAGTATGTGACTGTCACTAATGTGTGAGACAACACGCTGCACTTACACACCTGTCAGTGAAAGTGTGAGCTCACACACAGGAAGTGTTTGAATCACCTCACTATGTTTCCTGTCTGACAGATGAAGGCTGATTAATACTCTGTGGAGGTTTAAAAAGACTCTGAAGTGGATAACTGGCTGAGTCTTATTTCACACTTGGCTCCAGGCGTGTCTGTTAAAACACAGATGCAGACAACTTCTCTCCTTTAAGTGCTTTAATTCAGTGTACAAACATGAGTGCATACAGGCTTAGAAATGTGAGTCACAAAGCTTAGCTATGATGCATTACATACAATGTTATGTTCTTCTGCATCTACTTCAAATAAGATATATTCATCTCAAACAGACTCTAATGTAATGTGCACTCAATAAACAAATAGGTTAATTATTCACTTCGGTCACCTAAGTGACAGTATCCGAACTAGCAATTAGAGAAACGAACTACCCAAATCTACAAATAAGGTTAAAACTAATACAACCATAGAATAAATGTACTTATAACTTATAATACAAAACTTACAGGTCTCTAGGACGCACGCACACCTCTTCTGGTACCTGAGTTTTCTAATTGGTGCACACGACCGTTCCTCTCTTTTCATCCTCGCTTCACTCTCCTTTCCTCCGCTGCCTCGTTCTCACTCTGAATATCCAGCGCGCGCCCGCTCGCTCAGACTTTCAGGTGCATGCAGCAATTATCCATCGCGGGTTTGGCTGCCTTTTGTACTCACAGTAACAGTCACTACAGTTTGATGTGGTACACTTACCTGTCCTGATGAATCTCTCGGGCTTCTTTGTGTTTTCTCCCAGGAGGAGGTGTTTCAGTGGTGGGGGGAGTGGTCCAGTTGGTCCTCTTGTTCCAGGAGCTGTGGAGGAGGAGTGAGGAGTCAGGAGAGACACTGTCTCATACAGAGGTACGTCTTCTGTCTGTTCAGGACGCTGCAGTCATGTTGACAGTAAGGGCATTTTACCTGACAGTTTGTCATGTTTTGATCTGACGCTTGATTTTTGTTGAGTTTGAATGTTAATAGTCGAGGATAACTTAAGTCCAGGTACAAGGCAGGACTGATACGATGTTATTGCACCTTACAGTTGTGTATTTAAGATTTACGAGAAAGAACTCGGTGTAACAACATTCTGCCAATTATGGAGCTGTGGACGTAGCTACAGGTTAGAGCAGACAGCAGGACAGTGATGTGAGTGTGTGTCAGTGATGTCAAACTGTGGAAACATACTGATGCAGCAATATAACAGCATGTTTAAAAGCTAATACCGGACAGATATGCTTTCTTTCTAGTCCTTGTCAGGACACATGATGCAGAATTTGGAACCTGAGGAGTCTTTAAAGTAGGCCGAGGCGGTTAAAACGTGAATGATAATTATCAATGGAAATACATCAAATGTTTGATATGTAAAGTGTCCATCAGTATATTAACTAATTGGATCACACCACCCAAACACTGGACAAGGTGGCTGATGTGCCTTAAATGCTAGTTACCACCCGACATTAAAGAGAAGAAGAAAAAGACGGCAAACAGCCAATTGTGTTGCAGGGATATGGGCAGGCCGACAGACTTTTGGAGCGGAATGGAAAATGTTTTCCTCTTGGTTGTTCTTTTAGCTGTATTTATTTACTCCCGTAACTTCACGATGTACCGGAAGTCCCCTTTGAAGTTTTTCAAAATAAAAGCACATTATATTTGAAGACCGGAAGAGACTAAGGCATAAGGCAATAAGAAAAGCAAAATAAAAGCATCACAAAGAGCAGTTTTTAATCTGTTTTTTAGAGCTTAAGGTAACTGGGTTACTCAATGGATGTTCATAAAGTTAGTGTCTAATTATCTTTTGTAACTTTGTCTTGTTGTATGATGTGTCAGCTAACATTAGTTATTGGACATTAAATGAAACAGAATGTGTTGATTTGCTAGAGGGTGGTAATATACTAGCATTAGAGCACCCGCACTTTTAAAATCGCTGCTCCACCCCTGACTGGTAGTCCGCTGGTGAAGCTGGAAAATGTCACGCTTAATTGCTTAAACAAGTTTCTTTTCCTGACGCTTCTAACATGCTCTTATAGACACAGGATACATGCATCTACTGCTATGTGAAGTACCACAGTCTGGAGGGGTGAGCAGAGACACCCCCATGCACAGAGGGATGTTAGGTTAAGCATGTTTGTAGCCATCTTGTTACCTTTGACCTCCCCCTGTCAGACCTGCGGAAGTTTCTGTCAACTCTGATTAACACCACCCTGCCCTCACTTTTGGCCTCTGCCTTCCCCCTCCTCCCACTTTCCCACTTTTTCGCCTTATGTCTGACCCTTTTACTCCTCTTTTCATTTTTTACTTTTTTCTCCTCCTCTCGACTTCCTTTTCCCCCTCTTCCTCCCTACCGCGTTCACCTCACTCCCCTTCCCCTCCTGTCCTGTCCTCATCACCTTCTGCCAATTAGATGTGACACTCACACATAGTGACCTCCAGCTCACCTCCTCCTGCTGTCTCCTTCTCTTTTTTTACCATCCAAACAGAGTAGGAGGATGGACTGAAGAAAGAGGCAGTGATAGACGGAGCTGGTGTGAATGTGTGTGTGCCTGTGTGGTGGGTGGGGGGTTAACATGGTAATGAAAGACAGATGCATTAACTCCATGTGTGAGTTCTGCAGTGACAACTCCCCCAGAGTGCAGAAGGCTGGCTTAATAAGAACTACAAGAACAATCAAATAACACAAAGGGACCAAGAAAAACACACATCACCTGTTATTATAAATATCGGGTTGTTTCCAAACGGCTGAGTTTCTACCGAGAACCATTTGTTTCTAAAGATCTCCTCTCCTGGTCTGGGTTCTTTGTTAAATAGGGGTTACATTTGGAGACTTAAATGGTTCCTCATTTTCAATCGTGACATTGATATCAAGAATATTTCCCAACAAGGTGTTCATGATCAGGTTATAACGGATGATGTGGAGGCTGCACGTTGGTTCCCTTTAGCCAATAAGAATCAAGTATTAAAATGCATGACCACAGCGATTGGTAAATGGGAAAAGGACTTGAGCTTGTATATTTCTTTTCTAGTCTTCTGACTACTCAAATCTCTTTTACACTGCAGGTCACACATCCACATTCATACACTGATGGTAGAGGCTGCTGTGTAAAGAGTCCATCAGTATTAACTCATCCATTCATACACATTCACACACTGATGGTAGAGGCTGCTGTGTAAAGAGTCCATCAGTATTAACTCATCCATTCATACACATTCACACACTGATGGTAGAGGCTGCTGTGTAAAGAGTCCATCAGTATTAACTCATCCATTCATACACATTCACACACAGATGGTAGAGGCTGCTGTGTAAAGAGTCCATCAGTATTAACTCATCCATTCATACACATTCACACACTGATGGTAGAGGCTGCTGAGTAAAGAGTCCATCAGTATTAACTCATCCATTCATACACATTCACACACTGATGGTAGAGGCTGATGAGTAAAGAGTCCATCAGTATTAACTCATCCATTCATACACATTCACACACTGATGGTAGAGGCTGCTGTGTAAAGAGTCCATCAGTATTAACTCATCCATTCATACACATTCACACACTGATGGCAGAGGCCGCTGAGTAAAGCGTCCATCAGTATTAACTCATTCATTCATATGGACCTGATGGTCTCTTTACACAGCAGCCTCTGCCATCAGTGTGTGAATGTGTATGAATGGATGAGTTAATAGATGAATGGATGAGTTAATACTGATGGACTCTTTACTCAGCAGCCTCTACCATCAGTGTGTGAATGTGTATGAATGGATGAGTTAATACTGATAGACTCTTTACTCAGCAGCCTCTACCATCAGTGTGTGAATGGATGAGTTAATACTGATGGACTCTTTACTCAGCAGCCTCTACCATTAGTGTGTGAATGGATGAGTTAATACTGATGGACTCTTTACTCAGCAGCCTCTACCATCAGTGTGTGAATGTGTATGAATGGATGAGTTAATACTGATGGACTCTTTACTCAGCAGCCTCTACCATCAGTGTGTGAATGTGTATGAATGGATGAGTTAATACTGATGGACTCTTTATTCAGCAGCCTCTACCATCAGTGTTTAAATGTGTAGGTGTGACATGCGGTGTAAAAGCGCTTTGAGTAGTCAGAAGACTATTACTACTTAATAGCTGCCTTTATTTTACTGAGAATTACTTGTTTTCTTTCCAAACGGCTGAGTTTCTACCGAGAACCATTTGTTTCTAAAGATCTCCTCTCCTGGTCTGGGTTCTTTGTTAAATAGGGGTTACATTTGGAGACTTAAATGGTTCCTCATTTTCAATCGTGACATTGATATCAAGAATATTTCCCAACAAGGTGTTCATGATCAGGTTATAACGGATGATGTGGAGGCTGCACGTTGGTTCCCTTTAGCCAATAAGAATCAAGTATTAAAATGCATGACCACAGCGATTGGTAAATGGGAAAAGGACTTGAGCTTGTATATTTCTTTTCTAGTCTTCTGACTACTCAAATCTCTTTTACACTGCAGGTCACACATCCACATTCATACACTGATGGTAGAGGCTGCTGTGTAAAGAGTCCATCAGTATTAACTCATCCATTCATACACATTCACACACTGATGGTAGAGGCTGCTGTGTAAAGAGTCCATCAGTATTAACTCATCCATTCATACACATTCACACACTGATGGTAGAGGCTGCTGTGTAAAGAGTCCATCAGTATTAACTCATCCATTCATACACATTCACACACAGATGGTAGAGGCCGCTGAGTAAAGCGTCCATCAGTATTAACTCATTCATTCATATGGACCTGATGGTCTCTTTACACAGCAGCCTCTGCCATCAGTGTGTGAATGTGTATGAATGGATGAGTTAATAGATGAATGGATGAGTTAATACTGATGGACTCTTTACTCAGCAGCCTCTACCATCAGTGTGTGAATGTGTATGAATGGATGAGTTAATACTGATAGACTCTTTACTCAGCAGCCTCTACCATCAGTGTGTGAATGGATGAGTTAATACTGATGGACTCTTTACTCAGCAGCCTCTACCATTAGTGTGTGAATGGATGAGTTAATACTGATGGACTCTTTACTCAGCAGCCTCTACCATCAGTGTGTGAATGTGTATGAATGGATGAGTTAATACTGATGGACTCTTTACTCAGCAGCCTCTACCATCAGTGTGTGAATGTGTATGAATGGATGAGTTAATACTGATGGACTCTTTATTCAGCAGCCTCTACCATCAGTGTTTAAATGTGTAGGTGTGACATGCGGTGTAAAAGCGCTTTGAGTAGTCAGAAGACTATTACTACTTAATAGCTGCCTTTATTTTACTGAGAATTACTTGTTTTCTTATAAGTAAAAATAACTGCAGTCTCTTGTGTGTCCACTTGAGGCTGGTTTAAAAAATCCTGAAAGTCACATACACCCCCCCAAAAAACTCATCCGATTGGATTACATGAAGGATAAGAGTTATTCATAATAAGGGGCGTGGCTGATCTGACTGACAGGCGAGTGATTTGTAGCTGAGGCTTAAGGCCTGACTCAGCTCCAGGTCTTTTCCTGTTGCTAGGTTTGTCTGACACAGAATTTCAAATATGGTGACGGCCATCAATGGGCTTCAAAGGTCCGCTTCAGAAACCAATGGGTGACGTCTCTGAGACTACGTCCATGTTTACATACAGACTATGTACAAACCATAGGGAGCAAAATATGTTTGGTTCAGAAGTTCTTGAAGTCTGCAGGAAAGAACTGGACAAACATCTTTTTTTTTTTAGGTTGAGGATTTTTCGAGCATCATTATATATTAATCATGGGGCGCTGACATTTTTTTAATTGAAAAGGTTTTCCATGTAAATATTACTTTGAATAATCTGTTGAAAAACTGTCATAAAGTTAAAAGTATTCTAAAAAATACATATTATTTATTCATCTTGGAGTTCAATTTTACACCTAAGTAATTTCCAAAATCCCGTTTATCACCAGTAACGAGTCTGCATTGTTTGTCGTTGTTGCATCGTGTTCTGAAGGGACACATTTTATTTGGAGAAGTTTCCTTTCCTGTCATTCCCTGATCAGGCAGTTCAATCTTTGTCAATTTTTATTTGTATAGAGCTTAGCCTAAAGGCAAACCCCTCGATTACAGGTAGATATTTGTTCCAACCCTCACCTTTGGTCATGAGCTTTGGGTAGTAACAGGAAAAATAAGATTGCAGATAGTGGTCGAAATGAGTTTCCTCCAAAAGGGTGGGTGGGCTCTCAGCCTTGGAGATAGGGTGAGGAGCTTGGAGTAGAACCTTCTGTATAGAAAGGAGTCAGTTAAAGGTTCTGGGATCTGATGAGGATCCCTCCTGGACGCCTCCCTCTGGAGGTTTCCTGGGTACGCCCAATTTAAAGGAGACCCTGTCGTAGACCTAGAGTTTGCTGGAGGGATTATTTATCCTGTCTGGCCTTGTAACGAATCAGAATTACCCATGAGGAGCTGGAAAACATTGTTGGGTAGAGCAAAGCCTGGTTTGACTTACTCGCCTTATGCCACCGCGACCTGTCCTTGGAAAAGCAGAAGAAAATGGATGAATGGAATGGACTTCACAAAAAGAGCAGGTCTAGACTGTACTCGTGGTTAAGGGTTCTGTTTATGTCAGTGAGGATCTGACGCAGCTAGAGTATTTCTTTTTGTAAACATTTTGTTACTGCTGGAGAGGACGTTGATGAGACTAGAGCTTGTGAGGCTTCAAACCAAAACAATTAGCTTAAAAAGGAAAAGCTCTCGTCAAGCTCTAACTCCACTGGAGCTCAGAAACAGTTCAACACAGCTCAAATAAGACACAGTTTGGAGCTGACATGTTAAAAGGAAACACATTAGCATCAGTCAGTATGAGGCACTTTGAAAGTGTTGTATGATTTGTGCCAAGAGTCTTGGAGGTGTATCTAATCACTGCCTGCTCGATCTACTCATTACAGAGTCAAACTCACTTCTCATTATGATGCTGAATGTCAGTGAATCACTGTTTATACCAAAAAGAAAAGGAGAGACTGAGATGAGGAAAAGCAAAGAAGGAAAGCTGGTTTTTGATACTGCTTCTAGGACAAAAGGCCCGAAGTCTGCTGGACTTCATATGATCAAACCTCCTGTAGACCATGTTTCTACACTTCACCCTGTATTCCCGCACATGAACTCCTCACTGTCAGGTGTGTTTGCCACTACATTCACGTAAGCTTGGGTCACCTCAATGCTTTAAAAACCCCGCTCAGGTTGAACACTATGCATTGGTTTCACTTCTACTCTCCCTGTCAAAAATACTGAATCAAGTCTCTGAAGTTCAACCCAAGTCAGCTTTAGCAGAGCCACTCAACCATGACTGTACTGCTGTGGGTAACTGATTCACTGCTCAGCTCAATAGTCCATCAACTGCCTTTAACCACCAAATCTCCTCTCCACACTCTGAACTTGGTATCTCAGGATCAGTTCATGTCCTACCTCTTAGGGAGATCTTTAAGAGTGTCTTGGAGGGAAGACGTGTTCAAACCCGCACAGCTTGTCCACATAGGATCCACCCAGATCTCTGCAACCTTAAATCAAAATATACAGCTTGGATGCACCAAATTCTGGCTGATGTGATGTGTGTCAACCAGCAAACCTTTTAGATTCATGAGGCCATGATTGCTTCATATTAATAAGCCGTTTACAAAATAAGGAAGATCAGACCCTAGCTGCTGCTCAAATTAAAAACCCTACTGTGCACTTACAGAACAGCCGGGTCTGAACTCCCTCAGGGAGCTCTGTACTTTCTCTCGCCCACTACACTCCGCCTAGTCCTACCTTCACTTCACAGCCCTGAATCACATGCTGGACTCTTCTCCTCTGCATTACCCCGATGGTAGAATGAATTACCAAACTCAGATTGAGCTACAGAGTCCCGTTCATCCTTAAAAGGCGCTTTAGTTGATCCAAGCTCTTATTATTTCGATAACATAGTATCCTGTGTGTTTCAGGCTGTCCACTACCCAGAATGTAAACAGCTCTTATTGTGTCGGCTCTCCTAAACAATACCAACTCTGTCCTAACCAGGTATGACACTCACAAGATA